GAAAGTTAAATATACTATCGATGAGTTTCGCTTATGACTTCCATTTATCTCAAGGGCGCTTCTCGGGAACATTCCGTTCGAAAGGTTAGTCCACGATAAAAAGTTTCTTGCGATCTGAGGCCGCTGTTGTTTAAAGTTAAATTGCAGCAACAGTATTGTTATCGGTCAATCTTGAGACCGGCTGCTAACATCCATTTGTGACGAATTTATCGGTAATCGCGCCTTTGCGATTACCGATAAATTCAGTTTTCTTGATAGCTCGCGCGATTTCAAGTGGCCATAATATATGGCGAGAATACATGGCAATATATGGGAATAATATATGGTAATAATATACGGCAACAATATATGGCAACAATATATGGCAACAATGTATGGCAACAATATGTGGCAACAATATATGGCAATAATATAGGACAGTAATTCATGGAATATATTTTTCGTTACAAGAGTCAATGCAAATTTGCGGCATGCACAATGTAATAATAAAAGTAATAATAAAGTAATAATAAAAGTTCTTTCTGCGAGCTTTGAGTCAGACACTCACCAATGATGATATTGATGATGTCCTGTTGCATCCAACCAGATCCACCAATGTCCGCCCATGTCCGCTGCCACTCTCCATGTCGCGCAACATCCATCTTGCAGCTCGTCCCACGGTGATCGCTATACTTTCATCACACTTCCGCGACGCGGTCGATACGCGGTATTAGAACGGCGATATTTACATCAATTAACGAACGTTTTACTCGCCATCGGTGTAAACTTTTTGCACGCTGCGAAACGGACTCTATAAACTCGATCGGCGAGGAGTAAGAACCGTGTGAAAATTTATTGACTCGTCCAACGGATTTTTACGGTGCTTTTCGCGATTGCGTCTGAAAAGTCGCGAAAATGTGGGATTATCGATATCTACGAGTGAAATATTCGCGACGTGAATGCACGCGAGGAAAGATTAGACAATCAGAAACCGGTCCCCCTTATGGAGCGCAAAAAGAGAGGAGCGGGGCAAAGTTTTCACGCATTATAGCTCTGTCACGACGAAGCTTACGTCCGCGATACTTTGGTGAAATGAGAATTTAAGTTTTCTTTGTTAAAAACGCGTATATTGACAACCGCGGTCGCGATATTCAAAGGCACGCGAGCGAGGATACCTCAAGCTCGGCGTGCGCTGGCGCAATTTCTACGCGCATTATACGCTACTCGAGACAATAGGGATTGTGATGAATGGACAATATTGCCAAATAATTCTACAGCCTGTTTTGCAAATAAAAGAAAAGTAGCTAACGATATCGGCATTTAGGTATGAATATATTTTATACAGACAATTGAATATTGTCAAATAATTAAATCGTTAAGTAATTCTGCGGCCCGCTTGAAAAATAAAAATAAAGTAGCTGATGTCGGTGTCGCGTTTGTACATATGAATATTCTCTTATTCAGATGACTGAACATCAAAAGAGAATCATTCAGTATTTTAAATCTTGTATGTAATGCAGGCTATCGATCAAATAATCCCCTGATTGTTTCGAGCAATGTATTTTATTCAACGTCACAAATACACACATGCAAGTATCTATTTGCAATTCGCATTGACTCGAACGATATTTTTTAGTCCCACATGCATCCGTCATGCAGAATTTTGTTTCTCTTTTCATTTTGACTCACCGAAACGACTTGCAATCAGAGCCGGCCACGTTCCGCTTCAACTCTGTAACAAAAAATTCACACTTGCTCATCAGATTTGACCAACGAGTGCGGGCGAGTAAAAGAGTAGTTTACCCTCTGCGATCGTAATTCAAGTCGAGCCGGAAATTATATCCCAGCTTTAGATCGCCAAGGGTCAAACAGAGGACTATAGTAAACTTGTAAACTTACCTTCAAGCCGACTCTGCTTCGCCCGAACCGGATCCTCCGGTGCGGCATCCGCGTCCACCGGATTGCTGTTGCTTTCCGCAACAACTGAAACAGAAAAATAATTTTCCCGGTTGATAACCTGCGGTAGAGAGAGAATATCTTTGATCGGGACCAATCGAAAATACGGATATATTTTGATACGGAATTTTTATCTTTATATTTTTGTTCCAACATTGAAAATTTAAATGGGACTTGAAGCTTTCAAGAGAGCTGATGAGGAACAAGTTACAAAGGCAAAGATCGTAAAGAGTTGAACACAGATGTGTAGGAAACTTGTATACTTTACCTTCCGGCCGACCCTGCTCTGCCCGAACCGGATCCTCCGGTGCGGCATCCGCGTCCGCCGGACTTGCTTCCCGCAACGTCTGGAACAAAAATTTAGCGTTCTTGGTTGGTAAGCTGCGGTAGAGAATAAATGGTTGGTCGGGATGAGTGGAGAATATTCGCTACGATTTTTTTTCTTTATTGACATTGAATGTCTAGATAGGAGCTCTTGAAAGAGCTGACGAAAGAAAATGACAATAAGAAGCGGAGACAACAGTTGTGTGCTCTCGAAAATATTCTTTTACGGATAGACATTTAAATTCAGATCCCGTAACAAGAGTAAACAAACTTGAAAGAAGCGCTGACCGAAAACAAAAAAGGTCGCAGTCTAAGAAGCGATATGACGTTGAATATTCTACACAAGACCAATATTCTCACACAGGAATTGGGAATGATTCAGAATGTTTGATTGAGAACATGATGAATTCGAGATCCACGTCCATGGACCGTTATCCGTCTCTGTCTGGATCAATATCTTTTGTATACAACAACGCAATAAATAGATAGACAGACAGAGATTGACGAGAGTAATTGCAAATTCATAAAGTGATGATTACTAGTCGGATGATAACGGATTGTGAATGCCGAGCGCGAAATTCCGACTTCTTATTCCCGGAAAATTCGTCAAACGTACGCTCTCGTTATCGGAGACCTCCCGCGCAATAAATGATTCCACATATCTGGAAACGTGACGTATCGCTGCCGGCGTTCTGCTTCTCGACTGCTGAAGTCCTCCGGATTTCACTCGCTCACGCTTCTAATGCTGATGCTCGCGATTCGACCGTGCAGTTAATGAATGAGATGCCGACGCGATGCCGATTGAGTATCTCGAGGATCGACGAGATATATTTCTTTTAATTACACGAGACGGAAGTGACGAGAGCGTCGTGCACGGCTGCTGCTGATGGAATGAGGTCGAATACATGAGGTGCGCGAGTATTATAATACGAAGGGCAAAAAGTGTCGTCGCTCGCGAGCCGATCAACACAATCGGCGCGATGTAAACATTGCGGGCCTCGGCGGCGGTTGAAGCAAGAGAGACTTGCCTTTGAGCGTCTCTTGTTTTCTCGAAGGTTTCGGAACGACGAGGGGAATGCGAGGAGGCCTTTCAACTGTACGCGACATTGATGCACTCTATTTATTGATTACTGAAAATAAAGAAAATTACTCTGTCGAAGCATCGGACATTTGTTAGCTTTATGTTAATTAAAGAGGAATGTATACGATTAGAAAATGTGTTAGCAACTAATTGTACAGAGTGTAAGTGTTGTGACGCCGTTTTCAGAGAATAATTAAAGGTCATGGTAGCGTTAAAGAATGGAATTTCATCCTATGCGAATTTAGTCGCGCTCTTATTAAATATTAGTCCTGTATAAAATGTCGTATTTAAAAGTATTGTTTCGCATTCACGAGATTTTGTCGTGAATTCTGCTCTCAGATTGGATCGCGGATGAATACTTTTTAATGCGACGGGGAATAGAACGTGAAAATCTTATATACCTCTGAATCCGAAAATGATTAGGAAAAGAAGTGAATATTTTTCAATACGAAAGTTCGCATTTAAAAATTATTGATTGCGATTGAATATAAGGCATATTTGAAACGAATTGAATCCTTCTTAATGCGAAGCATTCACTACTGCCATCTCGCATTTAGCGCGGTGAAATTTAATGGGAACTAATACTTTTTATTTTCCCTTTCTTCGGATCAGAAAGCAGAATTCAGACGTATTCAAAATGTCAATACTTTTTAATATGTTTCAGTTCGACATTTTATACAGGGAGATTATCCGCTGTGGACAATAACTCTTCTACTTTTCATTTAATATTCAATGATGATAAATAACATTTAATTGCATTCGTTTGGCTTTTTTTATTTCGAAAATAAGAAAATATATACCGGGGTGAGATTTTACCCATGACAACATTAACGTGATTTTCTTTGATGCTTTTTTTAAAAGTTCAAATATTTCGTCGACTTGCGGGATATTTATAATCGGAGTCTTGTCACGTTAATTACGTGAATAACACGTGCTCCTCCGAGCGGATCGAATGCTCACCGACGGCCACTGTCAGTGCCACGAGCGAATGTCCGGAGCGGACGGGATGCTGAATTAAAAAACAAGACGAAGTGAACGGGACGCGGACAACGATACATCATGCGTCTCCATACATGTCAAATTGTTTATTATAGAAGAGACTTTGATACGGCAATATATATTCGAAGATTTAACATTTAATACGTACTTTTATTTTTTCTGCTCCTCCCCCCCTCTCCCCCGCTCTTTTTAGACCACCGGGCATAGTCTGGCATAGAGATGGCAACTGTCATTGCAGCACGGACATAAACCGCCTGAAAGTGGATGTAGCATGGACTTCCACCATATGCAGATTTTACCACCGAGACCTGAAAGTGGAAAGTGTATTATCGTAGTTCCCCTCTCAAAATGGATGCAGATGGCGTCCTTTCCCAGTGCGGAAAGTCGGTGTCGCAGAAAATGTCGTATTGGCCGCTTTCAGGTTACTCTCTGCTTCCACCATATGCAGATTTTACCACCGAGACCTGAAAGTGGATGTACTATCGTAGTTCCCCTCTCAAAATGGATACAGATGGCGTTCTTTCCCAGTGCGGAAAGTCGGTGTCGCAGAAAATGTCGTATTGGCCGCTCTCAGGTTACTCTCTGCTTCTAGTAATCTGATTTGTAATCGAATTGGAAGCAGTGATATAAACTGACCTTAGGAAAAGTTCCCTAGACTGATCCGAAATGTGTCCTCGGAGCGATCAGGGTACTCAGATCCGATTAGCTCATGACGAGTAGAGAAGGACGCGATTTATTTACTTGTGATTTATATTTCAAATCATATTAATACGAATCAGGCAAAATATATAGGTATGTACTTTATGAGTCTTATAATTACTTTCCTAGCCAAAGTAATCTAATGTGAAAATCACAATTCTCACTTTGCACTGCGAAATGAAATATGAATAATTAAAATTGACTGACATAATCGGTTAAGAAACCTGTCATAAGAAAGTGCTTTTCTGTTAATTGTACAAAAACAGGAAAGTTGGGTGAAACTAATTAAAAAACTTAACTCCTTTGTATTTTACTACGACTATCCCAAATCTCCTTGTTATTTGATTTATTTTTTTTGTTTTAAATAGCAAAATATTTTCTTGTCCTAATGAGCTTGTACTTTGCTGTGACTATCTCAAACCTTCTTGTTATTTGTTTTATTAAAAAAAAATTAAATAACAAGGAGGTTATGTAAGGACAAAGTATAAGGGAGTTAAATTTTTTATCGATTAATTTCACCCAATTTTCTTGTCTTTTGTACAATTAATAGCAAAATACTTTCTTCTTCTAACTTATACTTTGCTGTGACTATCTTTAACCTCCTTCTTATTTGTTTTATTAAAAAAAAAATAAATGAAACTGCTATAATTTGTCGCAATGACAGATTTCGTAATCTGTAATATTAGTCAACTTTAACTATTCATATCTCGCTTTGCTGTGTAGAGCGACTATTTTGACTTTCAAATATGATTACTATGCATTAAAACACAATATATGTGAATTTCAACCAAATCGGACGCGAAAGTCTAAATTGGATAATTACCTAATTTTCAACTTCCTTCAAATGTCTATTGACAAGATGTATTTATATTTCACCGATATATATTTTCAAAAAATTAATAGACTATAATGAAATAACCTGCCACTCCTCGGATAGACAGAATATTGAACATAGTATGGTCTTTTTATTACTACAATAATTTAGTATTAATTTAGTTGTTTTGCCAGCATATTGGTAGCAATTTTTATAACAATAGAAAATTTCTGCAATATTGACACAATTTTCATGGCATCAGATGCCTTCTTTTACATATTAACAAAATTCTGTTTGTACAAGGATGCATCTTGACGTATTTATCCTAGTCTATTAGTTTATCTGCGTCTACTTCAATTATTAGCATATAAGTTTATCAAAATAACCATTTTTTTAGATACTTGAAAATCAGTATGGAATGTGAACAAGAGAAAAACCTATGTGAACAGAATCAATACGGTATATATATCATATTATTGAAAAGACAATGTTTCCCAGTAAACACCAAGTAAAAGTTACGTTACATTAACGTTATTATTTCTCACTCAACAATATAACTGTTATATTGTTGAATGAGAAATAATAATGTTAATGCAATGTAAATGCAATGCAATGTAAATTTTATTTGGTGTTTACTGGATTATTATTAACTTAGACAGCACATAATATTTATAAAATATTTTGAAATAGTTTTAAAATATTGTGTACTATCACAGATTTTAATTGTTCTATAAGTAAACTAATTATATATTAATACAATCTGTCTTTTTAAATGTTTTGTTTTTGAAATAAAAAAATTAACATTTTGCAAAATTATCTTTCACAATTATCTTTCACAAATATATGAAGAGATTAGTGTAATTAATTGTAAGTGTAATTAAATTGTAATAAATTTTTTATATTTTTCATACAGAAAACGATAAATATCGATGGACTACATAAACAACAAAACTTCTAATAGAAGAAATCAAAGAGTATATTTTAAATTTAAATAAAAAGTCGACCATCTAAAAAAAAGTATGGAAGGAAATAGCGAGTAACTTCTATAAAAGAGGTTACAAAGTTACTGACGAACAGTATTCTATTAAATGGAAAAATCTAAAACAAAAATACAAATCAGTACTGGATGCAAACAATAAGACTGGTAGAGCTAAAACATCATGGGAATATTTTGATATAATAGACGATTTCATGAATATCACACCCGGAATACAACCCATATCACTGGCTTCTAGCACACATGGATTTCGCCTGCACAAACGAACTGTAGATACAGAAAATATTGAATCCGACGAAGAAAAAGAAAATGTGGCACCCGAAAATTCTAATATTATAAGACATATCAGTAAACGTTCAAGAAAGGAAGATTTAGCTTCATACTATAAAAAGCTTTATGAACAAAGAGAGAAGCATCATAATGAAAATATAGAAATAAAAAATAAATTTTCGACACTATTTCAAGAATATTTAAAGAGATAATATAACGTTCAAGATAGCTTTATACTTGTTTTGTTTTGTTTTTCTTTTTATAGTTTTTTATAGTTTTTTATAGTATATTTATAATTTTTCCTTTTATATATATTTTATTATTTTATATTTCTTATTATTTTATATCATAAAACTGTGATAATAAAACCAAAGAGATATTTATTTTAGTTTGACATACTAAAGTTTGACGTACTAAAGTGTTTGACATATATAATCAAATTTCTTTTATTTTTAGTTCGACTGATTTTAATTTTTTTTATTTTTAATTCAAGATTAATATTAATTTACGATTTAAAGTTAATTTTTAATTTATTACTTGATTTACGTTAATATATGTAAAGTTAATTAATATATAATAATTGAAAAATTAGACATTTCAAATATATATTCAGTTTATGTATGTTACAAAATGTAATAAATATATTTTAATCAATATACATCAATATACATCATAAGTAATGTAATATAACATTACATGTTACATGTAAACAACATAAAATGATTAGAAATTATTAGCGAATTTTGGTTTAAATAAATGTTGAAACTTTGTTGAAATGCGTTAGACTTCAGTTAATCAAAAACTTATAACGAGATGGTTAATCAGCATCATAAAAAAGTGGCATTAATAAATACAAATATAAATTTTCATAAAATTTACATTATACATTTCTTTTGTACAGAATTAATAGATTAAAAACGACATTTTAAACGTAATTGTAATATATCAATTGAATAAGTATGTTTTTGAAACAATATACAAGAGATACGGTTAGAAAATGTTTCATGTTTTACGAGATTTACGTTCACTAACAACATTTAAGGGAATTAATTTCAGACCGAAGATGGCATCGCAACATATATTATAAAGACGCCCAGACTAATCGATACTGCTTGTTAGTTCTGCGTCTACATCAGTCGGTATATATTTACTTGTATACGACTTCGTGCTTGATGCACCCTTCACATCGCAGCATGGTATTGCGCTACTATATGCCTAAATTGCCACGTACATGTTTAAGCTTCGCTGGATAGCATTGCGCGATATTGAAAATTACATTGACACGATTCATGTTGATAGAATATAAACCGAGTTCTGTCATCTTGAATATAATACGTTATATAGTATTACGTTCACACAGAATATATAGCGTTTTTAAGCAGCATAATGTTAAGAAAGAAGATAAAGGTACCAAAAAATAAAGAAAAAACATATTTTTAAGTATACCGAAGTATTAAAACAATTTAAATACTTTTTTGGATGCCGAAACATAGCCAATAATCCAATGTTTCTGAAAAATTTTCGAAAATTAAGTTCTCTCCTTAGACATCTGCTGTGTAACAAATTGCATCACAAAAAAATATCGAAATCATTTTATAATCCAATGTATACATTAAAATACTGCAGTTATATTTCTACATAAAAAGAAAAGAAAAAGAATAAAGAAAATACAAAAATGTGTTTATAATGTCAAAGAAATATGAAAGAAATAGTAGTCCACTGTGCCAGAAAAAAATATAAAAATTGGCAGATTTAACGAAGCTGTCGACGAGGATTACCACTGAATGATTTATTGTCATGACGTCGACTTCGAATTGCGGTTAGTAGAGACTAGGCTAACGCTAGATGTTAGAGTGGTCTAACACGTTGCGAATGAAAAAATAATCGTTTAGCTAGCTGAAACGCGCGAACGCCTTGACTGGGCTTAGAGATGATAGACGACGGATGATGCTCGAAAGGTGCCAGCCGACGAAAGATGGATGGCGACAAAAAAAGCAACTAGGAGTCGATGTTGGTCGACCATAGCATCTGCTGTTGAAAAGTTGAGAATCTTGATACGATTGAGCGTGAATGCTCGACGAACTCGTAAAAAGTCTGCAGAACGCCCAGAAATCCTTTAGTTACACTATTAACGTTGATTTATTTTAAGCCTTTTCGTCGCAACCTCTTCCACCCCATATTTTCTTGTCGATATCAATTTCATTTCGATTCATCAAGCCATCATTCATCGATCACATGGCTCTTTTCAAGCTCTTGTATCCAAATCCCTAACTTAACTATCTCGATATTGCACAATTCTCCAATCTAGGTCGCCAGAAATACCCAAATATCTTTTTCTTTTATTTTTATATAGTAATAATATTATATTATAATATTACATTATTACATTAATAATCTAATATTACATTATTAATCTTATATAATAATATAATGTTATTTAAATTAAATCAATTTTCTTAATTACGAAATTAGTTTAATTTCAAAGTGAGGACTGAATCAGATTTAACTAGATAATAAAATTGACAAAAATAACATATGGAAAAGTCTGAATAAATAAGTCTGAAAACCAGTTGTTTCCGAGATACTTAGTCCTTTATTTTATAAGCCACATACGTTACACGATAAACATGGCTATAAAACTTTAAGACTATTTTTTTTATAAGAATTATACAGCGCCATCATTTATGTAATATACAAACTCTCTATTGCTAATAAGGAAACGCATGGAAGGGTCCTCCTCCGATTTTGAAATATATTGTAATTTAGGCCGGTATTCATAGTCGAGTCTTATATTCAAGATCGTCTTAGGTTCACTTTCAGATATCCCATAGCCAATGAAGTAATTCGTACAGCATCTGAAGATAAACTTAAGACGATCTTAAATATAAGATCCGACTATGAATACCGGCTTTAGAGCAAAATAAGGAACACGAATTTTCTTATATGTACTCAATCGGCTTTTTAAGGAGTAAAACATCTTAAAATATTTTTGAAAATAATCGGTATTTCTTTTTCGAATCATGTGTCAAGAAAAAATATAAGAGATAGGAAAAAACTTTCCGAACAAAAATTTAATAATTTGAAGAGTATTTTATAACGATGTTTCCATTGTTTCTATGTTAAAACTTTAGATATATTCCCATGGCTTAAGTATCCGACTTAAGTTAATTTTTTTATAATCCAGAAATGTTATTTCTGTCAAATAAAAGGATATTTTATGCCCAATCCAACCATGTATATTAATACTACCTTTGACATAAGAACTTTTCGGAAAATAGGTAAAAGCACTTTTATATACCCATAACTCTGTATGTAGCCACTTATTCCATTTAATACATATTACATCTCGTACAATACGTTGTTTCGAACTTTTTCATAGTAAGAGACGATTTAAGTTATCGACCTTAGGAAATTTCAAAATTATTAAATTAACGAAAGTTAGGGCACTACTATAATAATATATTCTTGATAATAAGTAAAGTAAAAAAGTCTAATACTATTTTTTCTTTCGACGAATAGTTAACGAGATATCGTAAGTTAAATGTTGAAAAAGTTACCAAGTTTTCCTTAAATATTTCAAAAGATATTAGGCAAATAAAAAAATGTTTCAGACAAAAGTTGTTAAAATTAATTGAAATTGAATTAAAGAAAAAGAAGATATAAAAAATTGGGCTTTCTATTTTGAAAAATTAAGTTGACCTTCAACTGACCTTGAAAATGCTCTTCAAATAAAAAACTGATAATGCCATTCTGTTTCCCCTTCGAAATCATGGAAAATGTGTCTTAGCTTTTTTTAATATCTTTCATAATTTTCGAGACTTTTTAATGCGAATGTTAAAATAGGACACCCTATATACTACTGTGACCTAGTCGAGAAATTACAACATAGAACACGTAACGCGATCCTAAATGTTCTTTTCAATAAATTTTTTCTATGTTAGGCGTAATATGATTGCTACTTAACGTTTAGATAAGTCTAATTTTGAAATTTGAAGCGATACCGCATGAGTGTAGAAACTTTTGTGTAACATTATACATCCTGTCTCCCATCTTCAACATTCAATCGATTTTTTTGGAGCATGATCAGCTTGCAAATTGTTTCCACTTTGTCGACTATGTAGCACACATTACCGAGGAATTTGCGTATAAGTTTTCAAGTTCCTCAAATGTTTCGGTTTCTACGAGAAATCTCGGAAACTTCTCTCGCACAAACTTACAATTATTATTCGTCCAAAGGTCAGCAATCAGACACCTCTTCCGCGCGCGTGCGCGCGCGTGTCAAAAGTTTCGGCTTGTTCAAAGATTCCCCGATGCATTTACCCCGCTTTGGCATTCCCGGTGTAACTAATAAAGCTGCAACGTACTTGATTTGTAATTCGGTACAAGATGTGTGTCTTTCGGCAAAAAGAGAAAGGGCAAAGTAGATGGATGATAAGAGGGGTGAAAAATAGCGAAAAGGCAACCGAGCATGGTAATCGCGCGCAGATTGCGAGTCCGGGGCAAAGGCAACGGGAGCAGCGGTGCACTCAACGGCGTTGGCTCGGGTTTTAAAGGGTGGGAAGGATACAATATTTCAGAGTGACGACAAGGAGCAAGCCTGCTCGCCACTGGCAAATTAATTAAATTCCTACAAGCTGCCTGGAAAAGCTAAGAGAGGCGCGGCGCGGACGAGCGGTGGTCGGCGAAGCGGGCGAGGGTTCTGTGTCCCGCCCGTGGGAATATTGTAATTAAGATATGCACTTCTACCCTCCATTTTCCTCGTGCGTACCGGCAACCACCCCTTCAGACTACTACCGCTGCGCCATGATTTACGCTTCGCAGGACGCGATGTCTGTTTTGACCGCGTCTAAATTGCATCCTATTATGGAGACGCCGCGTCACTCCGCGCCGTCAACCAGCCGTTTCTTCCAGTATGTCAAATCTTGAAAGTTATAATACCAATAGAGAATTCCAGATATGACACGCGTTTGTCATCAAGAATAGCGAGAGAGAGAGAGAGAGAGAGAGAGGGAGAGAGAGAGAGAGAGAGAAAAAGAGAGAGAAAGAGAGAAGAGGGGCAGAGAGCAAATCGTTTGCAATTCATTTTGCTACACGATACATCATGTAAGGCGCGACAAATTCGAGCGTTTTTCCTCTCTGTTTTTTTTTTCTGTTTCGTCATAATCAACACCACTTCGAACAGTCGATTTTTCTCGACGAGCAAGCGAACGAGCGAGCGAGCGAGCGAGCAATGATTTTTAGGAACAATTGATAGTTATTTGCCGCTCATGGTCATGGTGTGTCAAGCTCTATTGTACCTCGTGGAGCATAAAAAATTCGATATGTCGTCGCTCTCCAATCCATAATTGGTGACATAACAATCAAAATTGATTACGCGATGACGAGATCACGCGTGTGCCAATTTAAAATGGTTTAAAATGGTTGGATAACGCGAGTTCGATTTTTCGCTGTTCCTTGTGAGTAACGAGATTCCACGGTAGCTACAATTATGGAAAGCACCACTATCGCCATAATTTTGGGCTTGATCCTGATGTTACCGCTACTCATACAACTGCAGATGCTTGTCGTACGTGATCAAGATTAATTGATCGTAAATTGCACCTACGAATTGTTTTCGTCTGAGGGCAGTAATGATTTATTGCGCCGCGGGTATGTAGGTTAAATGCCGAGGGGGGAAACACACCAGTATGCGTGTAAGAGAGGACACAATGCGTTAAAAAGCAGGAAACTAATTGAAAAAACTGTCACATCCATTAATCATTTTTATCCTATCTTTTGTAATATCGAAGCTAAAACTTGCACGCGTGCAAAAGGACAGAAAATTCTCTTTGTCCAGTTTCGGGGCTACATGGGAGAACCAGTATCATTTATTCGTAGTTTACACTTATTTCTTTTATTACACATTTTTTTAATATATGATCAAAGCATAGACATTAAACGCATACTAATGGAAAAAATGATAATTCGCTAAATAATGCGAATCTATATTTATAGTCAATGAAAAGTCGAATTTTTCTCGTCGTATGATAAATCCTTCAACGAATCTAATAAACATCTAAATAAATCGGAACAAGCAAATAAATACGCATATACATACATACATACATGCATACGTACATAGTATATATATATATATATATATGCGTATACTATTTTATATATATCATTATAATGCGAATGAAACGTCGAATTTTCAGATACAACCTTGGGAGATATTTGAAACACTCTTTCGACGCGACTTGACGGGGAGTGCACGCAGCATCCGTCGTAGTAAATGCAATCTAGTGCAGTACTACCCCATGTTGCCGAATTTGTTAAATTCCAATTCAGAATCCAAGATGACTGTATGCTCACCGAGAACGATCTCATCACCCGCTGTGTCATTATATATCCCGTCCAACGATACATGCCGATACGAGTGGCTCATTAGAAAAACGATATCGCTGACACAACATTCGTCGTCCTACATGGCGACGCAAATCGAGCTGCCGGTGGTGGATATCACTTGCAACTACAATTTCTATCGCTACAAAAGCTTTGAGGAGAGCTTGCGGGGCCGATATGGCACGAATTATCCTCCGGGTGAAGTGATTCTGAATTACATTCAATTAAATACACCGAACTCGCACGTTTGGATAGCGGACGATGTCGGCGAAAGCGACGACCTCTTGGATGTCTTTAAGATGAACGACTTCGACACATATTCGTCATTGATGTCAATCAAGTTAGAGACTGAATATCTGAATATTTTGGATCACTTCGTGTGGAAGCGGCGAGAACGGGTTTTGACGGTGGGCAAATTCACCGAGACTCCATCATTATGCGAAAGAAACTCGAGATGTCTCACCACGTCGTTGCATGCAGCCAATCCACTCTGAAAGGTTTGATCATTTAAGGAAAGAGATCCATGTGACGTTTGACAATCAAAGTTCTTTAAAAGATATACATAATGCGGGTATAACGATTTGAACGGAAATCTTATTGACGATCAAACGCTCGCTGTATTATCTCGGACTATATTTTATAATTATATCTTTTTATCTGCATGAGGAAAACACACGACGCTTCTTTTAGCCTCGGGAAACTTCTTCATTAAAAACCGCCGTTGAATTGTTAATCAACCGCTGGAATTATTGACCTTTTAGCGCCAAGATAATGCGCGCAATAAAGCAAGCCCATTTTTTATTAATGATTTTATACTCCGGTGACGCAGACCCGCTCGATGCATCGAGATAACCCATTTCGAGATAATAATCAAACGTGTGTATATATACATACACCATGATCCTCCCGAATATTGTTAACACGCGTCGAGCTATTCCTCCGCATCGCCTTACATGCTCGTCATTACCGCGGCGCGTCACGTCGTCACCTGAATACTAATAGACGAGGCTATACGTACGGGGAGCGTGCATTTGGCTCGTCATTCGAGGAATCGTCATCGTCCTCGCTCTGAATAGGGGTCGGTAATGGATAGCGGGGGCCGTCCCCGCTAGCTCTCTAGGAATCGCATCTATTTATTGATCGCCCTGTGCATTGGAATATTCAATCCGTCTCTCAGACTACGAGCAGCGAATACATGAGACGGGGCGCATCTCTTTCTATCACATCGGTAATTCCAGCCATTTCCCTTCTTCGCATAGATCTCTCTCTCTCTCTCTCTCTCTCTCTCTCTCTCTCTCTCTCTCTCTCTCTCTCTCTCTCTCTCTCTCTCTCTCTCTCTCTCTCTTTCTCTCTCTCTCTCTCTCTCTCTCTCTCTCTCTCTCTCTCTCTCTCTCGCAAGACTTTATCCCTTACAATTGGAAGTAACCTTCGGTGTCGCGTTACTTATTAATGCCTTATAGATCGAGCCGTTCGAAACGTTGTTGAATAATTCGTCTTAAGCTATCTTAACTGAATATCTATTTTATCAATGGTATAGGAAAAAATATATAGAAATCTTTTCTTGAATACTCTCTTGAATATATCGAGTCGAGTGAGTTTGTTTGCTTAATATTTTTTTTCGCATGTGTTGGCTCGATTGAAATTGTTGTGGATAATAAGCTAATTTCGCGAAAGATTTTATTGTCAAACAGCATCACCTAGCTGATTCGCAGTTCCGAACTTCTGAAGAAGTCAGAAAAAGCATCGATGACTTCATTAAGTCCAAACCACCATCGTTTTTCCGAAGCGGAATTCAAAAGTTGCCTGAAAGATGGCAGAAATGTGTAGAAAGTAAGGGAGATTACTTTCGGGATTAAGTAAATATTCTTTTTTTTAAAACTGAGCATTGAAGTTGAGTAAAAAAGGCCGAGAATTAAGTTGTACACCTAATATATATATACTATATTTATTATATACACATATATAACCAAATATTAATCCTTTGCAATAACATCAATAATAATAATAATAATAATAATAATAATAATATAATAATAATAAAGTCGACTCTTACACAAGTTTTAATAATTTCCTTATTGTGATTATTCTTATGTTAATTTACAGTTTATCTGTTAATTTACAACTTTGTTAAAATGCTTGAGCTGTTCTCCGTAAATAAATTGGTTAGCTAAAGACAAGAACGAATAAAGTAAATGAATCGAATAGAAATGTCAACGTGGAACGTTTACATTGACTACTTGTCAGGACTTTAGCCCTGGCATTTATATTCATCGGTAACTTTGATTGTGCACCGTAGGAATTGAAAATGGTTCCTGAAATGAAGCAAGACGACAGTAAAACTTCCACGGGAATATGCTAAAAGGGCAAGGAAAAGAGAATGAGAGAGCGAAAAGAAAGAATGAGAGAGAGAGAGAGAAAGAGAGAGAGAGAGAGAGAGAGAGAGAGAGAGAGAGAGAGAGAGAAAGAGAGAGAGAGAGAAAGTATGTATGCGCGCGTGTATGTGTGTATAACAAAGAAGGTGTGAGGGAACGAGCAGGATAGACTGATAGTGAAATAGGCAAATCCCATGACACTCCATCTCACTCTGGCAGCAAGTCTGCCAGACACTGGGGGGAGAGTAGGCCCCTGTAATACCGAAGCTTTTATTTCCGAAGCATCGATCTCCATAAAGTTGCTGCCGCGAAATGAGTTCCTGTGGTCTTCCTAGAGTTTCTCTAAAGCGCTTTGCCTCTGTGGAAATGTCCGAGGATGAGCATGCAAAAGAGAGAAAAAGAGAGAGAGAGAGAGAGAGAAAGAGAGAGAGAGGGAGAGAGAAAGAAAAAATGTATATATGCAGTTGTATTTAATAAAAGAATGCAAACCAGCCGCACACAGATAAGTATCTAAATAACGTCCTTTTTTGTTGAATTCTTTATCAAGAGGTATGGTAGTGCCTCGCGCCAAATTCAAACGCAACGAAGTTGCGCCCGAACGATGCGAGGCACACTGTGCTTATATTACGCGAAACTGCGAGTTGAAACGAAGCAAGATATTCATATTTCAGCAATGGCTGAACCGATCGAGGTTTCTTTAGTCTCAATCGATTTGGCTTTAAAAAATAAGAAGAAAAGTATTCTTATGCTTTTTGTGTACGTTATCTCTAAGCGGAGGTATTTTAAGGTAAAGTCCGAATCACGGAAAATTTCGATTTTTTATATATGTATGTAAAATGTATACCAAACTCAAATTATTTTTTTCTCAAATTATACAGGGTGTTCCATTTTAAAAAATGCACTTCAATCATTTTTCAACGAAGCATTTTTAGCAAAAATGTTTCGGACAGAAGTTGTATGATTGCGCGGAGGACATTAAACAACTATACTATTTTGTTTACAAATGGCCATTTTCGACATATTCACTGATCATTATGTTTCTTAAATGGAAACCCCAATTTTTTATTACACCGTCTTTTTCTACCAATTAATTTGAACAATTTTTGTCTGAAACATTTTTTTATTTGTTTAACAGAAAGAACTCGTTGATATTCTGAAACAAAGGAATACTTCAAATGAGACATTTCTGCTCTATTCGATTTTATCCTATTATGCATCACGCAGCTTGCGTCTTGCGCTTTCTCACCTCCTTTCGGAGGGTGCACACCCGGATTATTATGTTGTGAGACAACGGTAATGCGGGTGGACGAATACTTAGATGCTTGCAATTGCGGTGAGATGTTTGTAGGGTGAGTAGGTGAATAAATGGGGGAGAAGGTAGCTAGATAGGTGAATAAATTGGTAGGTAGATGCCCATGCCGCGAGAGTGGGCACAAATTGCAACTGAGAATCTTGCGCCGTTGTTGTTATTGTTGTTGCCGTTGCCGCTATCATTGCTAAAACGATAAAGGAGAGTGTCATAGTACTTACGCTTCCACTGAACTGACGTATCCCCCTGCTCGAAAACGGTCTTGCGTTATTCCTCAGATTCAGACAGACTTCGGAGCTTTAACTATGCACACAGCAATTCCCTCCACGAAAAAGTCCACTGAAAAAATTAGGCGTCGGAACCAAGACAGAAGAAACTTGGTGCATAAAATGGGAGTATCATTTGGAGCATAAAAAAGTAACACACACTTAAAAAACAACGGAAGAAAATAACATCAGTATAAAAAGATATTTTTTTAATGTCTTTTTACACGATTTTTTTTTTTCAGAAAAGCGTCGAACGTAAATAAATGGCTTTCCACCCTCCTTGAGGTGAGGACAGAAATCCGATCTGTGGGATTATTCAACACTGAAGGTTAGAAACTTTTGAACAATTTACAAAATAGAAATCGATGAAAACGTATTATATTTTTAATGAAATAGAAACATCGTTACTTCAGCAGAAATGCACCCTCAATCTGAGCGTTAATTACAAAAAGATGTCGGCACGTTGAAGATATTCTCTCGGCGCAGATATTTTCGTCGGGTTCCGGGAATTGAATTAAAGCCAACTTTAAAAGAGTGGTCTCGTACGAATGTTGCATTATACACTACGAGCGCGCGGCGATGTCCCTGCAGAGCGACTACATTAATCCTTTACGTGAACAACTCTCAAGCTCGAGATACATTTGTGTACATACGTTCTCAATTCCTTCGAGACATTTGTGTCGGACCGAAATTTACCGAGAAGAATCATACAATGTGCGTTCTCGCATTTTGAATAAATGCTCTATGCGTTTCTGTCGTACACGATAAAATTATTAAATTAACTAAATGAAAATAATCCATTGCACATACTTTGTCCATTGCAACGGGTGGTAGAAAACGGTCGTTTTTATGAAATTTACAAAATTAAAAATAAACTTTAAGAAATTCTTGCCCAACATCGATAATTATATATCAAAGTACAATCGATAAGAATGCTCTCATTCCTACATATCCGGTAATCAAAATGTAAGGGAAAGGTTGAGAAATGACTAAAGTATCTGACGAGATCGGGAGATAATAGTATCGATGAGGTGAAAGATAAGGACCTTTCCTTCCCCTCTTCCTCATGCCTTCCCCATCCGCTCTCTCTTTCTTTCCATCCCTTCTCCCCGCTCGCCTTTCTTTCTCTCGCTTTCTTCCGTCCCCCTTTCTTTCTTTCTTCGTCTTTCAGAGAGCAACTTATCAAGTCGAAGAAGCCGTTTAACGGTTCGTTACGAGAGAGCTCTTTCGCACTTTATCTCATTTGAGCCCCTTCGACGTGAGGTACAGAGAGGAGGTTTCAGGAGGTTCTCTAGTATGTAGAAATCATCTCGAAAACTAACTGGAGACAGATCGCGAACGGAATACCCCTATCAACAGAGTTAAATTTAAACTTATTGTGGCCTGAAATTATGATACGAACGAAATTTTCTATTTCTCGTTCCTATCTCTCGCTTCTTCTCTTGATCTATTTTCATCGTACAATCGCGCACTTACGCGCACGTAGTTTCGAACACTTGAAAATAAATTATTTATATTATTTCTTAAGATTATATGCCCAGAAAGTG